CCCCATCCCATCCGTGTTACCCCCCTAGACCCCCCTCCTCCCTCGCCGTCCCCGCCGCGGGGGTGCCGTGGGGTAACACCGACACCACCCCCCCAACCCCGACCCACCCCCGCAGGGCTCCTGCTTCCAATCTTCCCGGCGGGAGAAGTACGGCAACGTCTTCAAGACGCACTTGCTGGGGCGGCCGCTGGTGCGGGTGACGGGGGCGGAGAACGTGCGGAAGATCTTGATGGGGGAGCACCACCTGGTGAGCACCGAGTGGCCCCGGAGCACCCGCATGCTGCTGGGACCCAACACCGTGGCCAATTCCATCGGCGACATCCACCGGCACAAGAGGAAGGTGAGCGTTGCCACGCGAGACGAGCCGGGGAGGGGACGTGGGGGCGCGAGTGGGGCGTGGAAACACCTTCCCTTCTTCCTTTCTCCACTTCTTGTCTCCTTCTCCCTTTTTCCCCTTCTTCCTTTCTCTCCTTTCTCTTCTTCTCTCCTTCTCCCTTTTTCCCTTCTCCTCTACTTTCCTTCTTTCTTCCTTCTCCCCCTCTCCTCTTCTCCCCTTTTCCCCTTCTTCCCTCCTTCTCTTTTTCCCTCCTTCTCTTCTCCCCTTCTCCTCTTCTTCCCTCCTTCCCTTCTCCCCTTTTTCCCTTCTTCCCTCCCTCCCTCCTTCTCTTCTTCCCTCCTTCCCTCCTTCCCTTCTCCCCTTTTTCCCTTCTTCCCTCCCTCCCTCCTTCTCTTCTTCCCTCCTTCCCTTCTTTCTTTCTTCCTTCTCCCCCTCTCCTCTTCTCTCCTTCCCTTTCTCCCTTCTCCCTTTTTTCCCTTCTTCTCTCCTTCCCTTCTTCCCTCCTTCCTTCTTCCTTCCTTCTCTTCTTCCCTCCTTCCCTTCTTACCCTCATTTCCCTTTTTCCTCTGCCTTTCCCTTATTTTCCCTTTCCTTTTCTCCTTTCCCTCCTGCCAGGGGAGGTCCCTCTTGGGCTCCCCCCACGATCGTTGCTCTGAGGAGTTCAAAGGGTCGCTGGGGAGGCGCGGGGGGGGCACACGGGGGGCTCTGCTGAGGAGGGGGGTGTTGCCCCTCTCCCCCCTCCATCTCCACCCCCTCCCCGTGCCCGGTGACACGCGTGGGGGGGGCACTGCGGGGGCAGCGGGGCCCGGGGGGGCTCTTAAAAGGGCGACGAGCCCGGCGGGCAGAGGGTGGGCCCGGAGGGGAGGGGGATCCTCCGGAGTGTGCCCCCCCTTTGCAGGGACACCCCTCGGGGTTCATCTTGCTGGGGGTGGTCTGGTGGTGCCGAGCGTTCCCTCGGATCTCAGGGAATTCGGGGGCCTCGGGATGAAGCGCGAGGGGGGACTGAGCCGGTTTGGGGGGGGGCTGAGACCTTCTTGCGTCGCCCCCTCGGTGGTCTGGGGGTGAGACCCCCCCTCTTGCAGCCCCCAAGGCGGGTGGGGAGCACAGGGCAGCTGGTTTTGGGGGTGCTGAGCCCCGGCAGATGTGGGGTTGGGGTCCTCGTGTCCCCCCGTGGCTGTGGGGTTGGGGTCCTCGTGTCCCCCCCGTGGCTGTGGGGTTGGGGTCCTCGTGTCCCCCCGTGGCTGTGGGGTTGGGGTCCTCGTGTCCCCCTCGTGGCTGTGGGGTTGGGGTCCTCGTGTCCCCCCCGTGGCAGGGGCGGTGGCAGTGGTGACACTGGTGGAACGACTGGTGGTTCTCCCATCCTGCCCTCCACAGGACAGGCTCTTTCCCAGCTGGATGAGGGCAGGGAGCGGATTTGGGATGGGGAGGTGTGTCCCCCATCTGTGCAGTGTGGAGGCAGCAGTGCTGGCACAGGCAGCCCGTCCCCAGTGCCACCAGAGTGTCCCCATCCCTGCCCCGGGGCCGGGTCCCTTCTCCTCTCTGCTCCAGCAGGATTTCCTATTTTGGTGTCTGTGAAATCCCTTCCAAACCCTCTTTGCTCCTGGGGGACACGATGAGAAAACAAACAGCACATGACACCCATTAGTCGCATTTTTCAATGTGACACCACAAGAAACAGCAGCACCGTCGATCCCAACCCCGAACTCGACAAACCCAGCGCCTGCAATTTGGGAGTTGTTTTTTTTTTTTTCCTTGAGGAGGGAGGTATTTTTTCCAACCTTGCTGTCCAAGAGAAAGGGCAGGAGTTCACGGGGCTGCCTCCACCAGGGAGCAGAGTTTGGGGCAGGATTGGGATGTGGAGAGCGATGGATTTTCCTCGGCAGCAGCTTTGGCTCCTGTTTATTTCCCCTCGAGGGATCAGGCAGCGATTTGAAGGTGTCTCTGTGCTCCTTCCCTGCTTCTTTTTTATCCCTCTGCACAGCAAGATTATTCCTTGCTGCTGGAAAGTGGCCTTTGGTTGGGATCTCCTTAATAAAACCACGGAATTCAGCCCTCAGGAACAGACTCAGGGGAGGCCGGGAGAGCGTGGGTTATGGGAGTGGGGGCATGGAAAAGGGAGTTCTGACCTTTGTGGGATCCCGGTGGGTTTGTAATTTGTCCCACAGCTCGGGTGGGCACTGCCAGCCCCAGGAAGGAGCAGTGCCAGCAGCACAGAGCAGGGACAGCATCCCTCCCTCCACAGTTCTACCCGGTGCCCTCACTTCAGTGTTTTTTCCTAGTGGGAAACACATGTCCCACCCTAAGGTGGGAAAGCAAATGCTTTCGGAATTTTCTGAGTCCAGAAGCTGGTCTGGATCTCGTGAATTTTCTCCTCAAAGCCCTTTTTCCTCCCTGATTAGGTATTAGATATTGGGAAGGAATTCTTGGCTGGGAGGGTAGGGAGGCCCTGGCCCAGGTTGGGCAGAGAAGCTGTGGCTGCCCCTGGATCCCTGGAAGTGTCCAAGGCCAGGTTGGAGCAACCTGGGATGGTGGGAAATGTCCCTGCCTGTGGCAGGGGATGGAACTGGATGATCTTTAGATCCCTTCCAACTCAAACCATTCCATAATTCCGTGGGTTTTGGCATCACACACAATCCCAAGCTGGCAAGGATCCTAATTCCTGTTTAAGGGGTGGCTAAAGCCTCCTGGGAACAGGTATTCCAACAAAACACTGTCCCAGGATGACCCTTTCTCCTGCTCTCACACCTTTGCTTCGAGCTCCAGCCAACCTTTCCAAACACTTTCCCTGGATCAGCAGCTCTGGGGACGCTCCAGAAGCTCATTATTCTTTAATCTTCCTCCTTCATTGTCGTGAGGTTGAGAACATGGGACTGAGCTTGGGAAATCAGGGGGATTATTCCCATTTCTTCACTTGATCTCCTCTTAATTACCGCTTTTGGGAGCTGAGCATCTTGTGCATCACTCCTGAATCGCTTCTCCCCTCCAACCCATCCCTTGCCCTGCATTCAGAGCACCCAGAGATCAGGTGAACCTGCTTCTGAAGGGGAGAAAACCGAGCATTTTGTTCCTTTCAAGACTCAGATGACCAGATGAAAGCTTTTTCCAGGCCAGGTACCTTCTCCCTGCCTGTGTTCATTAACCCTGAGCTTCTGCTGCCGTTAAATTGGCTTTTAACTCTCCCCACCCTGAGGCTCTGAGAGGTCCAAGGAGAAAGAACTCAGATCACATTTAAGATTCAAGGTGCAGGTTTTAATTTGTACCTCCCTCTTGACCTGCTGGAGAACTGAGCGAGGAACTTGTGGGCAGAAGGCAGGTCTTTCCCAGAATTCACCAACTTTCCTAGTAAGGATTTGAGTTCTAAGAAGAACTTGAAAAGAATCGGAGCAGCGTGAAAGCTCCAGGCAGGGGAGCAGTGGGACTTCCTGGGAAACCTTTTTTGGTGGCTGGTGATTCAGTTTAAAGCACTGTGGGGCTTTCTGGAGCAGCAGTTCCATCCAGCTCTCCCATTCTGGTTTGTGCCTCCTCTCTGAGCTCGAGCCTTCACGGGCTCTTTTCCCTTTCTCTGATCCTGCCAGGAGTTGAGGTGTAATTTCTCAGGAGATCTCGGGATTTTAGCAACACAAGGAAAGGTGGAGCGTGAAATCCATGTTTTCACCCTCCAGCCACCGGGGTCACCTCTAGCTCTTGTCCAACCAACCCTTCCATGGCCAACAGCTCTGATAAGTCCTTGTCATCCTTCCAAAAGCATTTCTTTGCAGCAGCCCTGGCAGACAGACACTCTTTCCTCCTTCCCTGGCAGAGGAGCCGTGGTCTCCTCCCGGTGGCACAGATTGTCACCGAGATGGGAAGATGAGCTCCAGCAAAGAGCTTGAAAACCCAACATGTTCTTGCAGGAGGTTCCTGGGAGCTCGCCAGGAACCGGCTGCTTTGCTGCTCCATGTGTTTTCCAAGGAGCTTTCCAAGGAGTTTTAGCTCTTCGGTGTAACTTCGGGATCAGCAAATCTCGGATGTGCTGTAGGACACTTGGGGGGGGTGATGGGATGACTCAGTCTCTGGAGCTCTTCTCTCAGGTTTAAGTTCCCCATCTCAGCTGGTTTGCAGGATCCTGCACGGATTCATTATCCCATTCCATAAAGGGGGTGAATCTCCTCTTCTCGGGGCTCCCAGAAGCGTTGATCCCGTGGGTGCCGATAAAGGACTCGGAGGTGCACGTGTGGAAGGTGCTCAGGAGGAGCAAAGCCACATTGACTTGGCTTTCCCATCCCCAGCTTATTAAATCTCCCCTCCGGGAACCTGTCAAAATTCATAGAAATTGAGGAAAACATCCCCCTTTTTGGGAAATGAACTTTACAGTTATTAGAGAGGGCGTGGAGTCAGCTGGGAGCAGGGATGTGCCAGTGGGGTGGGATTGAGTGGAAGAGCAGGGATGGCCTGGAGTCAGCTTGGAGCAGGGATGTGCCAGTGGGGTGGGATTGAGTGGAAGAGCAGGGATGGCCTGGAGTCAGCTTGGAGCAGGGATGTGCCAGTGGGGTGGGATGGAGGGTGGGAGCAGGTCTGGCCTGGCTCAGGGGGGTCACTTTGTTGCAGATGTCACCTCGTAGGCTCTGCCCTTGGCCTCAGATGGAGCTGAGAGATAAGAGCAGTTTACAAGGGGTAAATAAAAGCGACTCCAAACTCAGCTACTCTCCTGAGATAAATGTCCATGACCCAGGCTGTTCCTGCTGGGTCATGGAGCTGATGTGGTGTTGGAGAAGGACCTGGGCCACCCCTGGGGCAGCTCCTCCCTCCATGGTGGCATTCCTGTCTGAAATGCCCTCCCAGGTGACTCACAGGAGTAACCCCGTTGTCCTGGCTCAGCACGGACACGTCTTGGCTTTTGGGAGGTAGATCCCTGTCCCTCCCCACCACAGGGAAGGTGCAAATCATCCCTTGGGCTCAGAGGGGACGTGTCCCAAGGGATGGGGTGAGCAGGGATGGACCTGGCTGAGGCTGCTCCTGCTCCA